AGTAGTGGATGATACTGAAGCTTCTGGAACCAACGATGCTGATTCCTATGATTCTGAGAGTGATGATAATGATGTCATTAGTAATCATAGCAGTGATTCAAATACATCCAAAGCGGCCTCTGATCAAGATCCTGAATTTGAAGATTTCGAACAACAAGACGAACCACAAATCTACAAAAACCGAAAGTCTGCTTATCTTCTTGGCGATACTTACATGAAACAACTCACCAATGATGTAAGCTCTATTTTTATCTCATTCAATTTCTCTTAAGGTTTTATGGTATTTGAACAACTGACTGATTTGTCCTTTGTATCATCCAGATGGACACCGTCAATAAAAAGCTGACCTGGTCAAGTGGTCACCGGGCAGATTTCAATCGACGCCGATCAAGAGCAAACGTTCAGCTTAAGTTGAAGAAGATACCAACGCTCAAGGCCCTATTATCAGGACATGGTATTAGATGGGGTATAAGAGCTGAACGATGGGAAAGGATGTGGGCTTGTCGCGATGTAAGTCATAGATATTTGTTTCTTTTAATATTAATTATATTCACAATACTCACCACCCTGTTCGATGTGTCGCCTTTTAGCTCATTGATCAAGTCATGAAGGACGACCTAACTGAGGTACATGCTAAGAAACGTTACCCAAAGAAGAATGGCAAGAAAAGTGGGTATTTTGAGGAGATGGTGTTCTCGGTGGCGGATTGGCAAGCAATGAGGGACCTATTGGACATACTCATGGTAAGGATTTCTTTTGTTTCTTTTCTATTTTCTTAATAACTAACTACTTTCTCAATAACTGACTAATCTCATTCGATTTTTATTTTATGTTGTTTATGTTTGACAAAATTCCAGCCATACAAGTATCTAACTCGAGACATGGAGGGAGATAAACCTACAGGATGTATGGTTTTGGTAAAGTACGTGCAGCTCAAGGCCTCCATGGAGGAACGTCTCAAGTCGATGCACCAAAGCGATCCCCTTTACCCAATGGTCAATATCATGATAGACAAGATTATCAAGTACCTGAATGAGGCACTCGAGTGTGACACGTTGATTCTAGCAGCTGTCTTCCACCCTGCTCTAAGGGTGAAGTTTTTTGCTCATGCATTTGGAATGGGTGATGTAGGAAATAATCGAGCCGAAGAATTACTTAAAAAATTAGTTTTCATCAACAAACATGACGAATTGGATCTTCAAGATGAACCAGTCATCAACACTTCAGAGTCTGATTCCCCAAGTAAAGATCATTTTGCCATTGGCAACGATAGTTTTCCTCAATTCTACAGCAGTGTCGTGGCCTCAAGTGAACACAACGAGCTTGATCGATACCTTCAAGGTATCGATCCGATGGTCACTCCTGATGTGAACAATCCACAATATGTGTTGGATTGGTGGAATGTAAGTCGCTCATTTCTTTTTTTTATACATAAATCCCACTTATTGACGTTTTTCGAATCTCTAGGCACACTCTGGCAAATACCCAATCTTATCGGTCTTGGCTAGGGATTACCTTGCAGCCCCTGCAGCATCTGCTGCACCCGAAAGATCTTTCTCGATTGCTGGTCAAGTTTGTACAGCAGAACGAGGCGGGCTTTTACCTCGCATGATCAAGATGACGGTCAGCAGCCAAATATGGGTCTTAGAAAATATACCGTTGATTGGCGATTTTTCTGGTGTTGGCAATGTGATCAAGTACTCGAAAAAGATGGTTCAAAAGAAGACCCGCAAGTCTTATAACAATTAGTTTTAAATTTATTTCTCCTTCAAATTTCTCTCAAGTTTTACAGTTTCTTTACGATCATTACTTCAAATGTTTGTTTCCTTTTCATTATGTTTTTCTTTTTTCTTCTTTTGGTCTTGAGTTTTCTTTACACTCGTTTAGAGCGTATTTTATCCTTTCATTACGGTCTTTACTGCAATAATTTGATTGTTTTTTTCTCTTTTTCATCTTGTTGAGAAAATTAAAAAAAACTTTTTTTTTTGGCTTGCAGCGCAGTGAAACGCTGCGATGAGAAGCAGCGTTTCAAGCTGCCATTTTGCCAAAAAAAAAACCCCCGTAGCCACTAACACTGCCCGGCTTTCGGCCTCCTGAAAGGCGCAGCGCTACCGGTTTGGAGGTTGTCAGCGCTGCGCTGCGCTGCGAGCCAGGCTTGGTCGAAGTTTCCTATCTTCAATCTCAAAGTTCACCTTCTAATTGTTAAAACTCTTAGCAATTATCAAATCAAAGTTTTTTCAGCCCTCCCTACCACCCTTTAAAAAAAAAAAAAAGATTGAATGCGGTAGTTATTTCTTTTTTAAAAAAAAATGTGTTTCATCAAATATTAGTGCAGTTATTTTTCATTAGTTATCTTTTTACTTACATATTACATTATGGTTTCTTTAGTCTATCTCAAGATTTCATGTTAGTGTTTTAGTTGTGTTGTTGGTTGGTTTCAAGTTATGTTATATTTCTTAAGTATTTTTCAGTTCGTGTATAGTTACATTATTTAGGCCTCTAGCCACCCCGTAGGGCGTTTGTTAGTTCTCAAGTAATTAATATTCCCTTGGCTTAGGCCTTGGGCTTTGCACCAAACATTGTTCTTTGGTATTGTATACCAATTTATTAGTAAGTTTTAACGATCCCATTTCTTTAGGTTATTTGAAAGATTGTCAAATTATGATCTTGATTGTGTAGAAGTCTTTAATTGCCATCCTAAGATTAGGGATACTAGATAGGATCAGATTCAGAAGAAGGTAATCAATATAACACATCAACATGAAAGCTGGTTTGGCGCTGGGTTTTCTCAAACAGGAGTCCTTCCAAAGATTTACATGTGACTCCAATTGGTTTACGTAATGTCTCAAATCAGAAGATCAAGTCAATAAAAAGAAAACAGGGTGGCAAGAGTATGACAATGGATGAGGAGGACAATGATGATTTAGAAAATAATAAGATGAGATATGATACAGAGTCAATGCTGCCACTTTACTTTACTAGTAAAGTAAAGAGTAAAGTAACAAAATTTTGTTACTTTAATTTGTTCAGTAAAGTCCCTGCCCCACCTTTACTTTACTTGACTTCACCCAGAGTAAAGTAAAGAGTAACTTTACTCAATTTCAATAAACACCATCCTTTTCAATTAAAAGAACAACTTGATCAAGTCTTATTACCTACCTTCAATGGCACCTGCAACACCTTTGAGTTCAGCTCCCCCTTGGTGTCAATTGACTGGTTCAACATCAAGGACTTGCAAGTCTTCTGGCAGTGTGATACCACCACAAGACTTGTCAGCCTCCAAGCTCAGGCTAGCTGAAGCCAAAGAGACTACAACTTGAATAAAAACTAATAAATAGATAAAATTAAAATATATATATTTCTCCTTTCATCATACTACATCGTGTGTCTAGTTTCAAAGACAACAAATACTTGAAAACAAAACTATGAGAACCTAAGTCAAAGGTAACAACAAAAATCCTCACAAGACACCTCGTGTCTAGTTCCAAGAGGAACAATCCTGAGAAACCAAGATTAACACTCCTAGAGGTAAAACTAAAAGGAACCCACTAAGAAGATACCATACGAGGCCAGCTTGAGGATCAGAACACAGTAACGCAACCCGAAGGACAAAACGAAACGAATTTAGCGTTTCAGGCTTGAGCTCAACCACGAGTTGACCAAGCAAGGATTTACTGAGTTCCCAATCTGGCCAAACCACGGGTTAGCCAGAAGAGTCTCCCCTTTGGGAACTATCAATAACAACGACTGAGAACCACAAGTCAGCCAGCCACCTGGAAAAGGCATATAAAGAGAGATGGTCTCCTGAGTTCGAAAGGAGGACACTCATCTACGACGACCAGAAGCAACTATAAGCTTTTTTCTCGCAGTCCAGCCATACTTCCTAAAAAAGGTATATCTCCACTCACTATAAAAGCCCAGTTACTACAAACGCAAAGTACAAAGAGTCACTTCTGATCTTACCTAGACTGTAAGTAAGAGACCAGGTTCACTACCTATTCCTTTTTCCCTCTTTTCCTTTGACTGTCCCTGTTTCAAGACAGTAAAACTCCATCTTGGTCAAGTGCCATTGTTCTTACAACGTAAAGTTGATAAGATCCCTGAGGCTTCAAAACCCAGGCTACTGGTTGATTCCATCTTCGAGAAAATATCCCCGGCTCAGAACCTGACCAGTTCCGTCTGTTAACCAACAGTGGGCCGTGGAACCTTCTGTCACGTTTATATTTACGTATACCGTGGTTAGTACCCTTCGAAACAAGTTACTGATATAAAGGAAATTTCTACCTTTATAATAGATACTATTCATCCTACGTATCCAATAGGATTCTTTGTCAGGTTCCTCAGTTAAATATTGATATTTAACTACTAGAGTAAGTGCCACCCTGACAATTGGGGGCCTCATTGAGTGTTAGTAGACCCAAGAACTAACAAAATAAAAAGAAAACGTTTAGTTTTCAAAGTAGATATTTTCACATTTCCTTCTTCTTAGAAATCATAAATCGTTTTCAAAATTTCCCAATCAAAGGAACTGCTCACCTTGAAGCACGATCTCCTAGATCTTTCCTTGCAAATCGGAAAACTGATAGAAAAAGTCATACAACTTGAGATTGCTGAAAGAAAACATAAGTAAGCTTACATCCACCCATCCCAAAGAGAGTGTAGTAATTGACAAATACGCGCCATCCTTGAAGTGAACGCACCAGAGAAGGTCATTCAACCTCCGAAGGCGCAGAAGAACCAGCCCCCGAACCAAGCAGTAGGAAAGGTTCGAGAGCAAATCCTAACAATCTTGCCGAAGATCCAGCTAAAAACGTCGTCTACCGTGCCGTTACCTAATCAGTCTATACTTCATACAACCACCACCTCGATTACCGAGACAACGACTACTGGGTCGGAGAAGATTGGTACCACGGATCACCCTGGTACATTACCTTTCATTCCTTTAGTTTCCTTGTTCTTTATTTCTCTTTCCGAGAAGATAAATTGACAAGCTTAACGGAATGCCTCCTAGAAAATCTGATCGAGTCCGAGCTATCAAAGAGAAACTCGGACAACCCTCATACTCAGAAACCTCCAGGAGATGTAGCTCAGTCGGTCCCACCTCAGCACGACCTAATGCAAGAAGATCAAGCATTAGATCAGCTACCACCGACCATAACGTCGGAGGAAGAGAGACTCCTAATGTCCCTACACGAGAAAAACTTCATCAACTGGAGAAAAGCTCAAGAAACGAACCCGAACAATACCCGGGCAATCACGATCTATCTCAGCTTGTGGAAGAACAGTCACGACAGCTTGACGATGCTCCTGGACGAGGAGGAAGTCCTGAAGAGGTCCCTGGGATGGAATCCGTACTCCGAAGAACTCAAGTTCAAAGCGAGAACCAACCATGGCTTCATAGGCAAGAATCCGAGCCCTCAACCAGCATCGCAGCACGTGCCGGAACCAGCGCAGTCCAACTCGTCAGCAGGACCAATCCGCAAGAACCATCAAAAAGCTCAGAAAGAGCCCTATCAGAAACCAGCTCACGTAGAGGAGGAATCGGCCAACATGCAGTCGATGCTGTCCTTCAGCCGAGCCTACTACCGGGCGATCAAAGGGATCAACAAATCCCAGAAGAGCAAAGGAAAGTCTCCCTTAGTTACAACCCAAAACCAACCGGGACCGTCCAACCAGTAGAAAAAACCTTCATCTCTACTCCCAGTCCGTTTCTCTTTTCCCAACGCGTGGCTTATGAAAATAATAATGATGTTTTTTGTTCTGCTGTCATGATGCCTACGCCTGTGAGCAAAACGAGTGTCCTAGTTCAAAAAGTTGCCCACCCCACTACCTCACCTTTAGTACAAAATGATGTTACTCCCATTCCTTTTAGACAAGTTGTGTCTCCTAAAGTTCATGCCCTCAAGACAATTTCTACTCCTATGACAGAGAATGACAAAATTGAGAGAGCGCTCGAAAACAAAAACTTGGAGAGTATCTCTCAAGAAAATTGAGAGACTAAAAGGATTGAAACCTCTGTACCCATGCCTGAGAATAGTAAGATCCAGGAGACCTCAGAACATCTAAGCACTAAGAAAAGTGTTAACTCCCTCCCTCCTATCACAAACAGTAAGGTTGAAGGACCTACCAAAAGACAAGACTCTTACAGTGTCGGAAGAACCGTTTCGTTAGTCGAGAAAGAGGAGTTAAGACATAAAAAAATAAAAGACGATCTTCCTGAGCCTGATAACTCAGTAATGAAGACAAAGAGCATTGAAGAAATACTCCGTGAAACGGAAAACAGGATTTCACCATTCCTTTTAGCCGGACCAGTCAATACTATGCCACAAAAAATGAGTCCTCTGTCCCCGGACAAAGAGTTTAGTCTTAACAATAAGTTCTCAGCATTAAAAATACACAGTGAGACAACTTCCCCAAAGTCACATATATCCGTTCCAGACAAGGAATTCAGGATACACGAAACGTTGAAAACCGTGCAATCTCATATAGAGACTAAGCTGGAAGAAACCATAAAGACACTGAATTCGAAGTGGGACAATAGCGTAGAACTCCTAAATGAGGAGATGAATATGAACTTTGAAGAGATTAGGCACAGTATCCTCCACACAAACAATAATATAGACATCAGTGCAATCGCGATAGTACTAGATGACCACCAGACGAACATGGAAAGCAATATGCAACTTCTACTACACTCGCACAAGGAACACAGCGAAGTTTACCTCAAACACCTGGGCGAATTGATGTGCGTGTTAGGAGAGAAGCTAGACTCAGCAGTTCAGAGAACAGAAAACATACACCGTAATGTAAACCGTCTGATATCACTGACAGAGCGTACACACAACCAAAACCATAGCGGTACCTACTCACATAGAGACCATATGCCAATAGCAAACGAGCCGGAAATACTGAGCAATAATCCATTTGCTCATGAATTCCCAGCGATGCAACAGCCGATGTTTAGGGGAGTAGATATTAACGCACCAACGCGCACAGCAATGGACAACCCAAAGTTGACCGTAGACGATAGAAGATCCAACGAGTCGGTGGGACAAGCCTTGGTTAAACAATTACAAAAGGATTATCCGCCTGTGAGGGACTGGCCTAAATTTAGTGGGGAAGACGAATATAACCATTTAGAATGGATCGAATGGATAGACAACACCCAGCAAGATACTGGCATGCCAGATTCGTCGATCACCTGCAAGTTAGCCATCATCATGACTCACTCGGCGAGAGCATGGTACACGAGTAAACGAACGACTGAAGGACCAAGCAGCTGGGCGAGGTGGAAAGAATTGATAAAGGACACATACGGTACCCCAGTATGGAAGAGGAAAATGTCCACAGCCTTCGACAGGGATACTTTCAGAGCAGAACACCGAGAGAAACCTCTCGCGTGGCTCCTACTGCAGAGGAGGCGAATGGTCGCAGCATGGCCGTTTCTGACGACCTCAGAGCAGATTGATAAGATTCTGAGTCTATGCCACGGCGATATAGAGCATGCGGTTCAATCGATAATCAAAGACCATTCAAACTACGAGATGTTTATGGCCATTTTCGAGGAGGTAGTTACCCACACATCCATCGGTAAGCATAAAACAAGTTATCCGAAGCGTTTCACTAATGAGGCGATAGCAACCTCTGAGTACAAGCAGAAGGATGATCGCAAAGAACAGAGCTCTAGAGACTATAGAGACAGGACTCCCGGCACGAACTATAAGCCTAGGGACAAACCCTTCTTTAAGAAGGATAGTGATTGAAGACCACGATTGGAGAAGAAAGCGGTTAACACTGTCGAACTAGACGATAGAGAGACTGATGTTGAAACCAGAATCGAGGACGAAGACCAGTCAGAAGCTGGGTCGGAAACGACAGACGATGAACAGGACATATGTATCGGTAACATCGAGATGACCAACCAAGTGCAAGGGAACGGTCAGGCAGACAAAGACTACAATACAGATTCTACAGGAAGTGTAATAGAAGGTGATAACCTATCGCTGGAGGAACTCGCACACAATCTACATATAGCAGAATTCGCACACGTAGAGAGCAACTATCCCCCTTTTATCGAAAGACTTGAAATGGGAACGATAGACCCAAGTTTAACACTCTCCATATCGATTAACGGCATCCTGGACTCACTGGTCCTAGATACGAACACCATAGAATCAATCATGCCACTATCACACTTGCAAATCTACTGCCCTTGATGGGAAACGGACATGACATCAGCCAACAAAGCAGAAGCGGCTAGAGGCATTAGAGGTAGAATTACCCTACCTATTAAATTAGAACACGTCACAAAGCCAGTCTTTTTAACGTCAGAATTCGTCATCGTGAATGACAACGAAAGGAAATACCCCAGTCTGGGATGCCGAGACTTGAACGAATTTAAGTTCATGATTTACCTCGGAACAGAGAGGTTCTGCGAAGTAAGAACGACATACAGAACCTTCAAATTTCCATTTGTGAATAAAAGGACGGACGAGTCAGAGATGCTTCCACAGGGGCAAGAAATATCTACGATAACCATGGAACCCAACAAAGAAATGGATATCGCAGAGCTACAGTCAAAAGCGTCAGTACCCCAGATATGGGAAGAGAACAAGGACACATCAAACCAAGTATCGGATGCAAGGCTCATGATGAGTCAACCAGAGAAAAGAAGAGCTCACACGATAGGACAGCACTGTATTACATCAGCGCTTATCAAAAACAAAGATAAAATAGATATCCTGCTAGACAGCGGAGCGGCATGCTCAGTTGTGGGAACCAAATATCTTGACAGATGCTACCCAGATTGGAGAGACGAGATGCTACCTCCCAGCAACATGACCTTTCGAGGATGTAGCAGCTCTTTGAAAGCAGTAGGCGTCATTGAATTGCCTATAGTCTTTCCACATAGGCTTGGTTCGATAAGAATCAGACTAGAATTCGTCATCATGGATAACGCAACCTCAAATTATTTTATATTAGGAGGAGAGTATCTGCGCTTGTACAGAATAGACATAGTACATAGCAAGGAGAAGTACTTTACCATAGGGAATGAGAACAAGAAAAAGAAGTTTCTGCTAGGTCCCAGTCACATCCAAAACGTGGAGAACATCACGCAGACCGAAGACAAATCCTTCGAGAAGGCATTTGGGGAATGTAACATTTCACCCAGGCTCAAATCTTCCGAAGCACATTCGCTAAAAGCGGTGATATCTAAATACCGCAAAGCTTTTGCCTTTGGAGACACACCAATAGGCACAGCCATAGGTCATCAGCTGAAAATCAAATTGACTATAGAAAAACCGTACCCACCAATCCTCAAAAAGCAAGCGTACCCGGCGAGCCCGCGTAGCAGGGATGAAATAGAAAAGCACATTGATGAGCTAACTAGATACAGTATCCTATGCAAAGTGGGAGCGGATGAGGAAGTCGATGTCACAACACCGGTCATCATTGCGTGGCATAACGGCAAATCTCGCATGTGCGGAGATTTTAGGGCACTAAATACGTTCACCACTCCGGACAGGTACCCCATGCCGAGAATTACCCATTGCCTAACAAATCTAGGTGCGGCACTATACATCACCACAATGGATATGATGAAGGGATTCCACCAAAATGAAGTAGAAGGGTTTAGCAGAAAATTCCTGCGCATTATCACACACAAAGGGATACACAAGTACCTGAAAATGCCGTTTGGAATCAAAGGCGCGCCCGCACATTTCCAGCGGATGATGGACTCCGTGTTTGCTGAGGAACTTAGCGAAGGATGGATGATTATATACATTGACGACATTATTGTATTCTCGAAAACATGGGAGGAGCATCTTCAAAGACTTACTACTGTTTTCGAGAAAATCATCAAACTAGGTATGACTATTTCACTACAAAAGTCGAACTTTGCCTTTCAGGAACTGAAAGCGCTGGGACATGTCGTTTGGGGCCTATGGATAGCTATAGATCAAAATAAAGTAGCAGCGGTGCTACAAAAACCTATCCCACAATCAGTGAAAGAGGTGCAATCGTTCCTTGGATTCGCTAACTACTATAGATCCCACTTAGAAGGATTTGCAAAAGTAAGTGGCCCATTGTACAAATTACTGCAAAAAGGAGTCACCTTCGAAATGACAAAAGAAAGGGTAGATTCTTGGAACAACCTTAAAAAGAAATTGACGGAGGCTCCTTTCTTAATACACCCAGCACTGCAGACATTATTCGGGTTCCCCAAGTGGGCAGGGAAAAATGATTGGGAGTATGATTTGTCATAAAATGGTCTATCACTCCACACCTGAGCCATAACACCCACACTACATATGTGTAGCAGGCTCAGTGAATATGTGGTTATCATGTACATACAGTTCTGCTCAGTTATCTGCTCATCAGGACAAGTTATTCATATGTAATACATGCTGTAACTTCTTTCAGATTGAAAAAAGCTTCCAAAAGATTGACTACATACACTGACTCAATGTTTTGGTGTGATCTCATCAACTCAACTGCATGTAACACACTTTCTGTTACTAAGACATAGCTTCAACAATATTGCCTGAGCAGCTACAGAATTATATGTAGTGAATTTTTGGGAAAAAAATTTCAAAGTCGAAAAAGTTACATGTGGTATAACATGTGATTTATTTATTCTGATGGGCAAAAAACTGAGCAGACCTGTATGTACATGATAGACAACTATTGACTTAGCTTGCTGCACATATGTAGTGTGGGTGAAATGGCCCAGGTGTGCAGTATTAGATTCTTTTATGAAAAACTGTACTATTAATCATTTTCCTCTGCCAAATTGGGGAAGTTGAATGATGTTTACAGTGCAGATTTCAAACTACCCTTCAAAGTGTACGTGGACGCGAGTTTTGATGGCCTAGGAGCTACCTTACAACAAGTACAAATAGTGGAAGACAAACCAACAGAAGGACTGATCAGCTGCATTTCACGACAACTGAAACAATCAGAACTAAACTACGGTGCTATGCAACTGGAA